GGAATGCGTCGGGACTCCCAGGGGCCGCGTATGGAACAAATCAGGACGTCGCACGTCTGGGTAGGGGGAGAGGGAAAGGCTTCTTAGAAACACCCCTGCTTCTTAGAAGGCGGGGGCCGCGTCTACAGATGTAGAGCCAGCGCCTTCTAAGGAGCGGCCTCCTAAAAAGCCTTCCCTCCTCTTCCTGCCCCTCTGTGCGCGCCGCCGCGAGGTTGTGGTTCTGGTCTGCTTCCTCATTTCTTATAGCGCAGGGTGGATGTCCAAGGTCCGTAGAGTGACTACCACGAAGCCGATGCCCGACAAGGTGGTGTCCGATGCCGACCACACATGTCCAAGGCCGTCTGGCATGCGCGCCATCGCCGGCCCGCGCACGGAGGGCGTCGCCCCCGCTGCTCCAAATTTCAGGGAATTGATGAAGCTGTGCGTCACGCAACAGCAGGTGGAGCCAGCACTGAGGATGTTTAACCAGATGTTGGAGGAGGGTGTCGGTCCCGACGCGCACCACATTGGCAAGTCCGTCGTCGACAGGTTCTTCAATCTGGTCGCCGAGAACCTCAGTACCGGACGCTTGCGGAGAGATGGGTTGTCACTCTTTGAGATGGTTGAAGCTCATGGGCTGGCGCCGTCGACGAGTATTCAGAACCGCTTGATGGTCGCGTGGAAAAGTAGACCTCCAAAGAGCGTTGTGAGCTATCTCCTGAGGATGAGGAGCGCGGGCATGCAACTTAGCCGGCTATCATACTTCTGCATTATCATTTCCAGCGAGCGGTCGGATCCAGTGTTGGTGTTGAAGATGTGCGACGAGATGCAGACTTTGGGAATTAAGCCTGACAAGGTAGCTTACAATGCATTGTTGGGTGCTTGCTCTCATCTTGGCCTCTGCGAGGAAGCTGGACAGCTATTCGATCAGATGCCCAACCATGGAATAATACCCGATGTCAAGAGCTACCGCATCATGATCAGTGTCAACGCACGTAATAAGAAGTACAAGGAAGCTGTTGCCCTCTTGGAGACTATGCGGGAGTCGGGCTTGAAGCCCGATCGACATGATTACCACAACGCAATCCAATCTTGCATCAGCCTCCAGCGCATCGAGCACGCCGTGGAGCTGTACAACGACATGGTCCGGGCGGACGTTGTCCCTAGCAAACGCACTGTCGCCTCATTGACGACGGCGTGTCAGACGCCTGCCTTGAGTTTTTAGGCAATCCAGCTCATGGCTCGGTGCACATGCGCCATGGCCCGCGAGAAATATAGGCACAGTGCGGCAAACTGTAGGCCAATATTGGTATCACTCGCGGGTTGCCGTCAAGTTGGGCCGCTGGCACGCCTGAGCCGGCAGTGTTGCGGCAGGGTGATCGCCGCCGCCACTGGCGATGCTCAATATTGGTGGCGATTTTGCACAACCTGTTCAGGCATCATGGAAGTTCACGCCCCCGTCCGCCAGGAACAGAGACTGGCGATGCTGACGACACTGATGGGTGGCCGGCTCTGACGTGACCAGGCCTTATCTTTGTCATAATGGCATCACATGTATGCTCTGTGCGCTGGGCAGTGGGTGGCGCTAGCGCGTTGCTCGTCTTGCTTCTTTCCCAGAGCCTCTGCCAGAGGCTCTCTGGTATAACGCCATCTGTTGCTGCTGCATCAACTGCCTGGTCGATCACATCAGCACTTCTCACCAGCATGGACTTCGGGACCATGCTTCGCTGCATGGTGTACCCATGAGGATAGGAGAGGCCTTACGCCCAGTTCCGCCGACCCTGAAGGGGGATCAGGAGGCCCCGGGACGGCCGCGAGGGAGCCGAGAAACCCACGAAGGCAGGTCGATTATTCTCCCAGAGCGGCTTCCTCAGCACCTCGAGACGGGAGAATAGGCAGACCACCGTGCCACCTCTATCGAGGACGCCTGCGGGGAACTACTGACACCCCCTGTCATTTGGAAGCGCCTGTGCGGCCAGACGCTGGAACGAAGTCTTGCTAAGCTATTGGATTACGGGCTCCCCCTGCCCTTGTGGAAATCCGTTGGGGAACATTTGTTGCAGGAGGAGGAGGAGGAGGAGGAGGAAGTGGAGGAGGACGAGGAGGAGGAGGCGGAGGAGGAGGCGGAGGAGGAGGAGGGAGGAGAAGGAGGAGGAGGAGGAGGAGGAGGAGGAGCAGGAGGAGGAGGAATATGAGGAGGAGGAGGACGAGGAGGAGGAGGAGGAGCAGGAGGAGGAGGAGGAGGAGGAAAAGGAGGAGGAGGACCAGTGTACATCCAAGACGCAACAACGATTTTGGAATACTTGCTTTCTCCAAGCGCCCACTTGCGTAGGCCCCTACAAGGATGCATGTCCACTGGGGGATGTGCGCTGTTGGGAAACAGCCGTCTGAAGATCCCGCTGCGTGCCAAAGCACCATTTTCGGTCCAACGCCACGAATCAACCAGACCGTCGCGTCTTGGCGATCCAGACTCCTACCATAACACCGTCCCTTAGACTTCGCACCGCGAATCAATGTAGTTGCTGCGCCTTGACAGTCCCGAATCGTTCCAAAACTGAGTTCCTGGTATGTTTGCCATGCGAGTCCGTGAAACCTTTGTATCCGTTTTGGAAAGGCACCGCCCTCAATCCGTGAAGCTCTTGCGCGGCGCGAAGGCGAGCACCACATCTCGAAAACTGCCCGCCCTCCATTTGCGAATCTGCTGTCAGTTTTAAAGCTTCAGGATGGTAAAAGTGGAGGGCGTCTTCGGCGAAACGTCCAGCCCGCCTTTTCGACAGGCCTCGGGGTGCGACAGGGAGGCGATATCCATAAAGAACATGAGAGGAAGGGGGATCAGGAGGGGGAGGGGGAGGGGAGGGGAGGAGGAGGAGGAGGGGGGAGGGGATGGGGAGGGGGAGGGGAGGAGGAGGAGGAGGAGGAGGAGGAGGAGGAGGAGAGGAGGAGGAGGATGAGGAGGAAGGGGAGGAGGAGGAGGAGGAGGTGGAGGAGGAGGAGGAGGAGGAGGAGGCAGAGGAGGCGGAGGAGGAGGAGGAGGAGGAGAAGGAGGAGGAGGACGAGGAGGAGGAGAGGAGGAGGAGGAGGAGGAGGAGGAGGAGAGGAGGAGGAGGAGGGAGGAGGAGGAGAGGCGGAGGAGGAGGAGGAGAAGGAGGAGCAGGAGGCGGAGGAGCAGGGTGAGGACGAGGAAGAGGAGGAGGAGGACGAGGAGGAGGAGAAAGAGGAGGAGGAGGAGGAGGAGGAAGAGGAGGAGGAGGAGGAGGAGGAGGAGGAGGAGGACCAGTGTAAACCCATGGCTCACCAACGAAGTCGGAAGAAACCCTCTCTCCAAGTTCCCTCGTTGCAGGCACCCACAAAGATCATTTCAACTGGGGGAAGCGCCCCGTTGGAAAACATCCGTTTAAACGTTCTGAACTGTGCCAGAATAGCATTCAACGACGCGGCTCACAGTTACTGTTGCTGTTGCGTCTTGGCGATCCTGAATCGTACCAGAACGCCATTCCTGGGACTTCAACACCGCAAGTCACACTGTTGCGCCCTCGCAGTGCGAGATCTTGCCAACACCATTCCTGGGACGCTCGCCATGATAATCTTCTAGCCTGCTATAACCTGTTAAAGCGAAGGTGCGCGGCCATACGGCGAGAGCCGCGTTTTGAACAAGAACGCTCCTCCATCAGTGAGGTTCTTACAATGTTCATGACAAGATTGCGCTGCGTTAAAGCGAGAGCCACGTTTTGAAACCGACCCGCCCTCCACCCGCGGAAATCTCGCAATTTCTTATGACGCCTGCGCGCGGCGCTAAAGCGAGAGCAGCATTTTGGAAACGATCCGCCTTCCATCCGCGAAGCTCTTGCAGCATTTTAAGGCGGATGTGCGCGGTTTTGAAGCGAGGCCACATGTTGAAAACCACCCGCCTTCCATCCGTGAGCCTTTTGTGAATCCCAAGCAACCAGGTCATAGATGTTGAGGAAGTCTTGGGCGAAACGCCCAGCCCGCCTTTTCGACCAGCCTCGGGGTGCGGCAGGGAGGAGTTAGGTATACATAGTAGGCGTGGGCGGTGAGGAAGCGGATGGGGAGGGGGAGGAGGTTGGTGGGGGAGGTGCTGAGAATTTGCTTTTGGTTATTACTCCGGGGTGCCATTGGAGAGATCGTCGGCCAGCAGCTGGTCCCTTGGCTCCGCCAGGGGCGCTGCCCATGCCGAAGCGGCCCCACCGCTCCAAGCCCCAGAGGGAATGAACGAGTGGGGAAGGGGATCAGATTAGGAGGGCGGGAGAAGGGGGATCCCCTGACTCTCGGAGCCTGCCAAGTCTTGGCAGGCGAAACTGCGCTGCTGAACTGAAGCTTGCGGAGGGGCCTCGTTGGGGGCTTCCTGGGGCTTCTCGGCGGTCTCTCGGGGGGGCTTCTAAGGGGCCTCGTGGCCTTCGGAGGCCGTCTTGGGGGTCTCCCTGGGCAGTCGTGGGCACCTGTTTGGGCGCTTGAGGGCAGTATTGGAAGTTGTCCTGGCCGTCTTGGAGCCCTTTTTGGGGCCGTCTTGGGGGCCTCTTGGGCCGTCTTGCCGGCGATCTTTGGGGCGTCTTGGATTGTCGAAAGTTCGAAATGGCGAGGATGCTAATAGCTAGCTAGCACCATTGGACCACCGAAAGAGAATCAATGATACTGGCTTCCTGTAGGTCCTCTTGGAGCCCTCTTGGGGAGTCTTGGAAGCCTTCGAGCCGCCTGGATGGCATCTTGAGCCGTCTTGGGTTCATGTTGGCCTTTTTGGATGTGTCTTGGGACAGTCTTAGAAGCCATCTTGGGCAGTCTTGGAGGCCATCTTGGTCGTCTTTGCGAGATTTGTTGTGGACGTTTCGGTCTTTGTTTTGCTTTCTGGATGGATGGTGGGATGGGCCTGGGCCCCTTAGGAACCTGTTGGAAGAGCCAGCTCACTGAAACGTTCGGCACGCCATGCACCCCTTTCGAGTCGAGTCGAGAAGCCATGCGCCGTTTGGCGCGTGGGCGGGAAAAGGACCACGATTGTGACGCAGAGAAACAAGGCGCATCACGGCTGTGAAGCAGAAAACTAAGCGCCTCACGACTGTGAAGCAGAGAAGACGGAGGAGGGGAGGGCGGGGCGGACGCATTACAGGACATCGCCCACACCAGTGTCGAAAGCGAACTCGGCACAGAACTCTCGCAACTTCACCTGCTCCTGCGCGGCCTCGTACAAGCATTGATCAGAAGAGGGTCGACACTGGATTTTGCGGGAAAGTTCCTTTGTTTATTCATGTCTGGGTCCCCAGGCGCCCCTTTGATGAATGGAAACGGGTTGGCGGATCGAGGACGCCCGCGGCGAATCGCCGCCGCCCCTGCCTTGTGGAAGAGCCTATGTCCATACTATGTGGCCGAATGATGTGCCAAAAGCTCGGCCAACTTGTCGGATTACGTGTTCCCCCAACCGTTGGACACCCTCCAGAGAGCACGAGGGGGAGAAATCAGCAGAATATTAATGATCCGCCGCCCCCTGTCGATTCATCGCAGGGGTGCCTGGCGTGCCAGACTCTTTCGGTTTTGGTTTTGGTTCTTTCTCCAAAAGAACCCCCCCTGGCGCTTCGGCCCGTTTCGTCGGTCACCCGGAAGATCCCTAATCCTGGTAGACATCCGCCAAGACGGCTCAAGATGGCCTCCAAGATGGCCGCGTTGGCCCAAGATGGCCCCCAAGATGGTCCAAGATGGGCTCCAAGTTCGCCCAAGATTGTCCAAGACGGCCTCCACGACGGCACAAGAGAGTCCAAGATACCTCCAAGTTCGTCCACGCAGCCTCCAAGACGGCCCAACACGACCCAAGAGGCCTCCAATAGGTCCTCCAGTAGGGCCCGAAGAGGCCAACATCATTGATTTTCCTTCGGTTTTTGAAGGATTTTCGTATGTGCTCCTTTTCGGCTTTCCGACGACCCAAGATGGCCCAAGAGGCCCCCAAGATCGCCCCCACAGCGCCCAAGAGGCCTCCAAGATGACCTCAGGACTGCCCAAGCGGCCCCCAAGACGGCCCCACGAGGGAATCAAGACGACACAAGAGGCCTCCAAGGTGCCCAAGATGGCTTCTAAGACGGCCCTGGAGCACCCCAAGAGGGCCCCAAGTCGGCCCAGAGAGGCCCCCCAAACGGCTTCCGACGGCGTCAGACGGGCCAGGAGTCCACCAAGATGGCCGAACTTAGCTCGAAGCTGGCCCAAGACGGCCCCAGAGGCCTCCAATAGGGCTCCAGGAAGGCCAGACAAGGCCAAACACATTGATTGTCCTTAGGTTTTTTGAAGGATTTTGGCATTTGCTTCTTTTCGTCCATCCGAAGGCCCGAGACGGCCCACGAGCCCTCAAAGATCGACCAAAGATCGCCCAAGAGGCCTCCAAGATGGCCCCAGAACGGCCCAAGAGGCCCCCAAGACGAGGAGCCCACCAAAACGGCCGAAGATGGCCCTAAGATTGCCCAATACGGCCCAAGGGGCTTCCAAGAGGGTCCCCAGGAAGGGCCGAAAAGGTCTAAATCATTGATTTCCCATGGATGTTTGAAGGATTGTGGTGGCATTTGCCTTTTTTCTGCCTTCCGATGGCCCGAGACGGCCCAAGTGCCCCCAAAGATCGCCCAAGAGGCCCACGACAGCCCCAAGAGGCCTCCAAGGCGGCCCAAGAGGCCTCCAAGACGCTCAAGATGGCCTCCAAGACGGCCCAAGAGCCAAGCCCTCCAAGACGTCCTCCAAGAAGGCCCGAAAGGGTCCAAATGGCCTCCAGACGGCCAAGATGACTTTCAAGATGCCCACGTGTTCCCCGAAGGCTTTCCAAACCGATTCGGGGAACACATGGTCCCATAGCTTGGCAGGTCTGGCCTCAACGTTCGGCCACATAGGCGCTTCCAAAAAGGCAGGGGGCGGCGGTGATTCGCCGTAGGCGTCTTAGATAATATCACAAAGAAGAATAATCATAGTAACAATAGAATAATTATATTAATATGAAGAATATTCGCAATACTAGCACTATTGTTAATACTAAACAATATTAGTACTAATAATACGAAACATAGAAGTAGAGGGGAGGGAGGCAAAAGGAGGAGGAGGCCTCTTGGAAGTATCATGGGGCTCTGTTGCGGCCTCTTAGGAGCTTCCTAGGGGGCTCTTGGATGCCTCTTAGGGGCTTCCTTGGGCCTCTTGTGGGCCTATGGAGGCTCCTTGGGAGGCTCTTGTCTTGCTGGCCTCTCTTTGCCGACCTGGGGCGCGTCAGGGCCGTCCTGGAGACCATATTGGGCGTTTTGGAAGTCTGGAAGTCTCCTGGACCGTCTTGAGGCCCTCTAGTGGCCGTCTTGGGGGCCGCTTGGGCCGTCAGGGGGCCATTTCGGATGCCTCTTGGGCGCTCTTGCGGTCATCTTGGTGGCCTCTGGAAAGCCGAAAATGAGCAACCGCTAGAACCATTCAAAAACCGACGGGCAATCACTGATTTCGGCATCTTCGGGCTTTCTTAGAGGTTTTTTTGGAGGCCTCTTAGGCCGTCTTGGAGGCCTCTTGTGGCCGTTTTGTTGCCTTTTGGGCCGTCTTTGGCGATTTTGAGGTCACCTTGGGGGCACCTCTGCCCGTCTCGGAGGCCTCTTGGACTGTCTTGGGGTATTTTGAGGCCAATATTGGAGACATTTTGAGACCGTCTTGGAGGCCACCTCGGGCCATCGCGGCCGTCTTGGAGGCGTCCCAGCGGCCATCTTGAGCCATTTGGGCCGTCTTGGGGACTTACGCGGCTCTCCGGGTGGCGCCGGCGGGTTGGGCCAATTGCCCAATGAGAACCTCCTCGCTCCTCCCTCTTCCTCCTCCTCCTCCTCCTCCTCCTCCTCCTCTTCCTCCTCCTTACCTGAAACCTGGCACGCCGTGCGCCCCTCTGGCAAGCCATCGGGGGGCGGCGTTCTACTGATTGGTGGCCTTCGGCCCCTCCCTTCCGTGCCTGGGCCGTGGGCCAGATGCCCCCTGAATGCGCACGAAGTTCTCTTGGGCTGCCTCTCGGAGGCCTCGTGAAAGGGCTCTTGGGGCCTCTTGGGGCCTCCTGGGGGTTTCTCTGGGGCCTCTGTGGGGCATCTCCTTGAGCAGAAGTCGCGACACGCCAGCTCGTGTGCCCCGTCTTGGGCCTCTTGGCCTCTTGGGGCCCCCTTGGGCAGTCTTTGGGCCCCCTTGGGCCTTCTTGAGGCCCTCTTTGGGGATCCTTGGGCAGTCTTTAGGGCGATCTTGGGGGCCCTTTGGGCCTTTGGGCCGCCTTGGAGCACGAGGAGACGCTAACATTCTTCGAACGCCTTAGGCGCAACCGTGTTTTTCGCGTGGGGAGGAATGGGACCGGGGGGAGCCCGTGTTACTCGGGATGGGGGTGGGGCACCTTCCCTTCAGCCCCCGACCCCCCGGTGAGGAAGGTATAGAGGGAAGGGGCTTCCACTGTACGAGATGACCTGGTTTTGTATGTAAGTGGCGGGTACATTGTATGGGATGGGCGGATTCTGCGAGGGCTTCGCTCGACAAGCCCCCAGACCGCTCACACACGCTGACGGGGTCGGCGGATTTGCCTCTGGGTAATTACCTAGTGAGCGGTCCCGCCTGTCTGTTGGTAAAGGTCCAGCTGTACGGTCGAGTATCTGATTGAGAAGCCTTCTCCCGAAAAGCTGGGCCAGCGCATCCAACTTGCTGGAAATATTACCCAGTATCTTGTGCATGTTCGCCCCTCCAGCGTTACCAACAGAAAATGGCACGGGCTTGTATCAAGAAACCAATAGGAAGCTGGCCCAGATTTCTTAAACTATCATCTTCTTGATCATATGTTCGGCTGTAGTGCGCACTTCGTTGTTCCTGGGCCCTGCTGGATGGCTCCTTGAGCCTCGTGGGTTCGCCTCCTTCACTCGTCCGGGTCCTGACGCCGCCGACGGGGATCGCCTCCTTCGCGCGGTACGCACCACGGGTGGAGTGTATCTTTTGTGCATCGGCTTCTCCCTCCTATTCTTTCCAGAACAGGATGAGGCACCGATGCCAGTACCTTTTCCCTGATTTGTCTCTTTCTGGGCCTCCTGGGCGGCCCTCGTCACCACCGCTGGATTTGCTTCAAGTCCTGGTCAGAACACTCTGGGGGAGGTCCGGGAGTTGAGGTGTTGGTACCTTTTGATTTCCCCACGTTTCTTCTCTTGCTCCTGGTTGCGAGGGGTGGCGTCGTCGCCCCATGCCGCGAGCTGGTGATCTGCCAAGAGATTCCCTCTGTTCTGCCGTGAGTGTGGTGCGGAGCGGCAGTCGTGAGCAGGCGCCTCCGCGTTTTCACGATTCGATGTGGTTGAAGTTGTTTAGAGCTCCAGCCAACAAGTGAGCCCGGTACCGACCAGGCAGTCGCGTCGAAACCAGGGGGTGGACGCACAAGCGGGCCTCATCAGTCCGCAGCTTACGCTGGCTGCCACTGTGATGTGGCCTCGACTTCTTCTGCCGGCTACCTCTTCACGGCGGTGCTTGCTCTGTTCCCGTCTTTTACCCATCCTTCTCATTCTTCGAGTCTTCCCCATGACCGCCCTGATCAGATATGCTGCTCGCCCTTCTCCAGATTCTTCCTTCTGGGGCGCACGCGCTTCGGCGGCAGGCTGCCCTTCGGCACGCGCGAGCCTGCTTGCAGGCGAAAGCCCACCCAGTCGCCCTTTTGTGCGGATCATGCGCATGCCGATCCGCGTTCGGCGCTTTCTGCAGGCACAGGTTTGCCATCTCGTGGGTGTTTGGTGAAGATGGCCGACCAGCTGCCCAGCTCGTTTTTCTTTCCGTGGTCCGCGCCGCGTGGAACATGTCCACGTACGAGCACCCGTGTGGGCACCAGCTGTGCACCTACACCGATCCTGGCCAGGCCGATCCTGGGCCCAGGTTCGGTGTACGTGTCGCCCTGCCCAAGCCAGGAGGGCGTATACACCGACCCTGGGCCCAGGATGAGCCTGTCCAGGATCGGTGTAGGTGTATAGTTGGCGCCCTCCTACCAGCCACGGAGCTGGGTTTCGGAACGTGCCCTTGAACTTTTCGTTTGATGCGTCTGCACGTGCACAAGCGAAGAGAGGAGGGGAGTAAAGGGGGGTGGCAAGCAGAGAGGACACGAAGGAGGGACAAGGGCGGAGAAGGACGAGGATCCTTTTTCTTCCAAGCCGCAGCGTCACGCAGCTCTCCAGACTATACCAGCGGGCCTGGAGTGCGACGCCGATCAGGCGGGCGCGTGGCCAAGTACTTCGTTTCGCACCCGCCTGTTGCAGGGTCTGCCCGTCTGTCCGGCCCTGAGACTTCTGTGCAGACTTCGGAGGGATCAGCAGGGAAGTGGTTAGGGAGGGAGGGAGGGAGAGAGGGAGGGAGGAGGATCAGGAGGGGCACGAGGAGGAGGAGGACAAGGAGGAGGAGGAGGAGGAGGAGGAGGAGGAGGAGGAGGAGGCGTTGGAGGAGGGGGAGGAGGGGGAGCAGAAGGAGGAGGAGGAGGAGGAGGAGGAGGAGGAGGAGGAGGAATGGGAGGAGGAAGAGGAGGAGGAGGAGGAGGTCCAGTGTAAACCCAAACGTTGTAATAAACTCTCCCTCCAAGCTCCCTCTTCATAGGCTCCTACACAGGTTCATTTCCACTCTGGGAAGTTCCCCGTTAGGAGATAATTGTTGGAAGATCCTGAAACGTGCCCGAGCACCATTCTCGGAACTTCAATGTCACAGGTCAGCTTCATTGTTGCGTCTTGACGATCCCGAATCGTGCCAAAACACAATTTCTGGGACTCCAGCGCCTCGAATCAAGGTAATTGTTGTGCCCTGAAAATCTGGAATATTCTCAGAACTTCATATATGGTACGTTAGCCGTGGGAGCCCGTGACATCCTCACAATGTCTGAAACAAATTGCGCGGCGCCTTCAATCCGTGATTTTCCCGTAATTTCTTAAGACGAGTGTGCGGTGCGCAGAGGCGAGCGCCACATGTTGAAAACCACCCACCTTCGGGGGTCGGGCGAGAGCCACATTTGGAAGACCACCGGCCCTCAATCCGAGAAGCTCTTGCGCATTTTTGGAAATGACTGCGCGGCGTTGAAGCGAGAGCCGCATTTTGAAAACCACCCGCACTCCATCCGTGAAGTCCTGGCAGGTTCTTAAGACGAGCGTGCGTGGCGCTAAAACGAGAGGCACATTTTGAAAACCACCCGCCCTCAATCCGTCCAACTATTGTAGGTTTTTGAAATTTATGTGTTCGGCGCCGAGGTCAGAGCCACAACTCAAAAACCACCCTCCCTCAATCTGCGAAGCTCTGGCAAATTTCTGATAACGAATGTGTGCGTCGCTAAGGCGAGATCCACATTTTGAAAACCACCCGCCCTCAATCCGTGAAGCTCTTGCAAATGCTTACGACGACTGTGCGCGGCGCTGAGGCGACAGCCACATGGTGAAAGCCACCCGCCCTCAATCCGTGCTGCTGTCATACATTTTAAAACAATTGTCTGCGGCGCTAGGGCGACAGCCGCATTTTGAAAACCACCCGCCCTCAATCCGTGAATCTGCTACAAGGTTTATGACGATTATGCGCGGCGCTGGGGCGAGAGCCACCTCTTGAAAACCACGCGCTCTCATTTCGCGGAGCTCTTGCAAATCTCTTAAAAAACAAATGTGCGCGGCGCTGGGGCGAGAGCCACATTTTGAAAACCACCCGCCCTCAATATGTGAAGCTCTGGCAAATCGTAAATCTCTGAAGCGAGTGTGCGCGGCGCTAAGGCGAGAGTCACATTCTGGAAATCACCCGCCCTCAATCCGTGAAACCCTTGCGAATTTCTGAAAGCGAATTTGCGTGGCACTCTGTGGCGAGAGCCACACGTGACCTCCCCGCCAGGTCCGTGAAACTCTTGCAGATGCTTAGGACGAGTGTGCGCGGCGCTGAGGCGAGAGCCACGTGTGAGGCGTTCCAAAAAGGGTCGTTGCCTTCGAGGATCGAAGGAGTTGCCAGCTCTTCCTCGGCGGATTGCGGCGGCAGGGCGGCGGGAGGTCGGCGGAGGTAGATCGGGGCCACCCGGAAGGCGGCGGGAGGCCGGCGGGAGGTGGCAGAAGTGAAACATCGCGCAGCCAACGGACGACAACATTTCTGGGCTCGGGGTTCTCAGAATCCGCCATGTTCAAAACCACCCGCCCTCAATCCGTAAAGCTTCTTGCAGCTTTTGAGCAGGATTTGCGCGGCGCTGCTGCGAGAGCCACATTTGGAGAGCCACCCGCCCTCAGTCCGTGAAACTGTTGCTAATGCATAAGACGAGTGTACGCGGCGCTAAAGCGAGTGCCAACTTTTGAAAATCACCCGCCCTCAATCCGAGGATCATGCGTGGCGAGGAAGCCTCATGCGACACGTCCTGCTCGCCTTTCCGACTGGCTTCGGGGTGCGACAGGGAGGAAATTTGAAGGAAAAGGAATGGAGCAGGAGGAGGAGGAGGAGGCGGAGGAGGAGGAGGAGGAAAACAAGGAGGAGGAGGAGGAGGAGGAGGAAAAGGAGGAGGAGGAGGAGCTCTGCTCTCTCAGTGGTCGGCCAGCAGCAGCCTTGCTGGAACCTTGTGGAGCCGCAGGCTTCCGCTGCTCGCCGAGCCGTTCAGGGCCCCAAAGGTGGCTGGCCTCTCTGAACAACGGCGGGGCAGCGCTCTGTCCTCGTTCTCTGGAGGGGTGGATGGCGAGGTGCGCTTAGGCCCGGCATTTCTGGGAGGCCGCTTCCTAGCCAAGGGTGCGCCTCCCGGCTTCTTTGCCGTTATTGTGTGCGTCTCATCCTCTTCCTCCTTTCCCCCCGTCCCAGGGTTATCAGACAGGGCGGGCGCGCCTAGTTTTGTCTGTGCATGGCATTTCTGGGGGGCGGCTTTCCCTTGTTAAGGGTGCGCCTCCCGGCTTATTTGCCGCTGCTGTGTAGATCTCCTTTTCCTCCTTTCCCCCCTCCCCTTGCCCGCGTGTCCTGCACGTTTCACCGCCCGCCAGCCCCGCCGCGTTCCCGTGCCGATGCCGCGGGGGGAAACTCCAGGCGCTGCCGCGCATCCAAGCAGCCAGAAGGGCGTGTGGGCAGAAGAGTGCGATTGGCCGCGGCCGGCCGCGCTTCTGGTTGTAGAGGAAAACGTTCCTCGGCGCCTCCCGTCGCTGTTGCGGAGCACGCGCCGTACAGTCATCCCGCATAATAGGTATGACCGACTTTCCACGGTTACCCTTGAATCTTTCCCCTCCGGCCCATCCCTGGCCGCTTTCGCTGGTCGCGCCCCGCTCGCAGAGTGTCGACATGGCCTTCCAAGGCCTTTGCATCCTTATCGCGCGTCCTTGTTATACGGGTTGATTGTACGACGGAGGGTCTTGTGTGCTTCTCAGTGTCCGGGGGCCTTCGCCGGGGCCTGGAGCCGTCAAGTAACGAAGCGTGATGAGTGCCAGTCCCGGGGAAGGGGTTGAGACCTTTGGGGGCCTCTTGTTGTGACAGAGCAATCGCGGCGTTGTACAATGGAAACGCACGCAAAGAGACACCCTGCTTGCCTCCATGGTGCCCTTGGTTTCCTGGGTTTCGATGGTTTTCCATGGAAGGCGTGACTTTCCCACACCAAAAAATCAATGGACGTCCTGGGGTCTCAGGTTTGGGTTTCTTGTGGAAGTTTTCTTGTATTCGAGCTCCTTCTGTAGTTCTGGGTAGGAGGTGGGTTTAGGCAGGGCTGACGCGGGAAGCATCGTGTAGCGTAGCGCGCCGTCAGGGGAGTCTTAAGTATGCGCACGCGCCAGCTGCTCAGGGGGGTCGCATTGTAGGCTGGACCGCAGTGCCTGTTGGATGCATGTGTCGTGACTCGGTCCTCTGTGCCGTGTGCTGTGTATGCTTGTGTATTCTTGGCGATGTTTCCGTCGTGCTTCGATCCTGTGTGGCGTACAAAAAGGTGTTAGTTCCTGACCGTTGGCTGTCGCATGTGAAGCTTCGAGGCCAGACCTCTTGACCCAGTGAGCTGCGGTTTTCCGCGTGAGGGTGCCGTGTGGTGTCGTGCGGTGCCGCATGTGGATCGGCCTGGCGCCGAGTGGTGCCGCGCAGACGTGCCGCGTGGTGCCGCGTCTGTTGAGGGGGGGTGGAAGCGACGCCACCCGCCCTGGGTTCACTTCGATCCTCCACCTCCTCCTCCTGTTTCTCCTCCTCCTTCCTCCCCCTGTTCCTCTTCCTCGTCCTCCTCCTGCTCGTCCTCCTCCTCCCCCTCGTAGCTTGATAGCGGTTTTGGCAGGCCGATCCGGGTCGATTCCGATGTTCGGACGATCCGATGCGGCCCGATGCTTGCACAGTGCTGTCGTGCATCTTGGCGCGGCCGATTCGATTCGATTCCGATTCCGATTCCGTACCGATGTGGCCTTGATGCACGTTTCGATTCGACCCGATCTATCGATTCGATGCTGACCGGTCCTTCCACCAGGGGGTCACCTCCAGCGAGGAGGTCCACGATGGTTCCCCGCGCTGGTGATGGGAGGTGTCTCGAGCGGCGCGCCGCAAAACAGGGGGACCACACCACCGGCAGAACCCTCTCTGGCTCTCTGGGTGTGGATTCTCCTTGCTCCTAGTCTGGTGCACATCGCGGGCGTGTGCGCGTGTGTTGTGTGCAGGTGTGTGTGTGTTGTGTGTGTGTGTGTGTGTGTCGTGTGTTGCGCGTTGTGTGTCGTGCGCGCGTTGTAGCCTCCCGTTGGACCAAGATGCGACCCGATATTGGCAGGAACAGTTGTTCATTTCCGGAGCGGGGGCCCGGGAGCAAACCTGGAAGAAAACGCCGCGAGGGGAGATGAGCAAACCAGGATCATTGGGGGGTAGGCGGGCGAGGAAGACGAGGATGAGGAAGATGAGGACGAGGATAAGGACTTGTAGTAGCATCAGTCGTACTACTGGTTGTTTTCGTCGTCGTCGTCGTCGTAGTCGTAGTAATGGTAGTACCAGCAGGAGTAGTAGCGTTTGTCGTAGTCATCGTAAGCGTAGTAGTATTAGTGTCAGTAGCAGTCGTAGTCGTAATTCAGGTGGTCGTCGTAGTCGTAGTAGTAG